TTGTTATTTGTAGGCTTTTTAACTATGGCCATTCTGACTGGTGTGAGGTGATACCTCATTGTGGTTTCGATTTGCATTTCTCTAATAATTAGTGATATTGATTATCTTTTCATGTGCCTGTTGGCCATCTGTGTGTCTTCTTTGGAGAAATTTCTATTGATATTTAGGTCTTCTGCCCATTTTTTGATTGAGCTTTTTTTTTATATTAAGCTGTATGAGTTGTTCATGCTGTCTTGATAACTGTAGCATTATAGAAAATTTGAAGTCAGATAGTGTCAGTCTTCCAATTTTGTTCTTCTCCTTCAATATTTTCTTGTCTATTTTGTGTCATTTGCCTCCACATATAAAGTTTTCAGTCAGCTTGTCCATACCCACAAAATAACTTGCTGGGATTTTGAATGGGATTGCATTGAATTTATAGATCAATTTGGGAAGAACTAAAATCTTGACAATATTGAGTCTTCCTGCCCATGAACATGGATTATCTCTCCATTCACTTAGCTATCCTTTGATTTAATTCAAAAGAGTTTTGTAGTTTTTCTCATGTAGATCACGTAAAAATTTTGTTTGATTAAAACCTAAGCATTTCACTTTTGGGGTATTAATGTAAATTATATTGTGTTTTTTACTTCAAATTTTGTTTGTTCATTGCTAATATATAGGCAAGCAATTGACTTTTGTATATTAACCTTTTTATTCTGCAGCCTTGATATAATCACGTGTTACTTCCAAGAGGTTTTTTTTTTTTCTTAACAGTTCTTTCATATTCTCTAAGAGATGATCATGTCATCTGTGAACAAAGTTAATCTCTTCCTTACCAATCTGAATACTTTTTACTTATTTTCTTTGCCTTATTGCATACTGGAAGCAAAACTTTCCAGTATGATGTTGAAAAGGAGTGGTGAGAGGGAATATACTTGCCCTGTACCAGATGTTCATGGGAAGATTTGAATTTCTCATCATTAAGTATGATGCCCGCGATGGGGTTTTTATGCATGTTCCTTCTGAAGTTGAGGACGTTTCCCTCTATTCCTATTTTACCCTGAATACTGATGATGAATGAGTTGAATTTTGTCAAATGTTTTCATGCATATATTGTTATGATCATGTGATTTTTCTTTTTCACCCTATTGATGTGCTGGATTACAATAATTGACTTTTGAATGTTCAACCAGCCTTACACACCCATAAGTAATCCCACATGATTGTGTGTATACACTATTGGATTCAACATACTAACATTTTGTTGAAGATTCTTGCCCATATGGCTTTGAAATTATTTCAAAATAAATTATTATTTTTTTAAATATCAGAAGTTATGCCTTCAAGATACCATTGATCTCCTTCAAGATTCCTATTACAGTCTTTGCAGGAGTGTTCTTAAAAATTAATCTGGAGTGACGAGGTAAATCCATAGAGACAGAAGCAGATGGGTGGTGGCAAGGTAGTGTCAGTCTTCCAACAGGATGGAGGGGAAAAGAGATGACCATTTACGCTGTGGGCTTCATTTAGGGCTGATGAAAATGCGTTGGAACTAGATAGACTTGGTGGCTGTACAACACGGTGATAATACCAAACTCCACTGAAGTACCCTTGAAATGGTTCATTTTATGTTATGTAAATTTGACGTCGTTAAAAATAATCTCAATCTCCCAGTTCATTGGGATTGACATATATACACCAATATGTATAAAATGGACAACTAATAAGAACCTGCTGTATAAAAAAATAAATAAAATTATAAAATATTAAAAAAAAAAACATAAAAGAGCCAAACGGCTTTTAGAACACCTTTGAGGAAACTTGTCACTGATTAAATAAAGTTGGTCATTTAGGCACGTGAGGCAAAACAAACAAAAAACAAAAAACAATCTCCCCAAACACACTAACCCAGAGTAAACTTCTGTGCCAGTTGTTGATTTCCTTGGCCAACATGCTTAGCATTTCCTTCAATAAATGTGTTGTCACTTGGTTTTGTAGGTCCATTTGGAGCGGGATATCTTCATGATCTCTGTGTCTCCCGCAGCCCTCTCCCCATCCTCCGTCCCCACAGTCTCCTCTCCTGGTCCTAGTGGTTTCACAGTCACCTTCCCGTGGCTCTTTCCTGGGCCAGCTGGATCTCCTGCAGAGATACTGCCGATCCAGCTGGAGATCCAGTCAGAGATCCAGGAGTGCCTGCGCTGTGTCCACCTTCCGTCTCCCACAGCGGGGCCCCAGGTCCAGCAGAAGATCTTCATCAGCCTCCCTTAGCTGGTGGTCGTTGGGTGGGTGGATGCATGTCAGTCCCCATGTGGTTGGCTGGCTCCTGGCCCTCCCAGCAGGTCGTGTCAGTGGAGGACACGGCGGCTCCCAGCTCTCAGTTGACCCCTGAGCTTCAACCCACTGGCCATTTTTGTGTCATCAGTGTTGCCAGATCTTAGAAACATTACTTTTCTATTTGAACCCATGTGAGCTTTTGATTTTTCCCTATGTTATCCATATAGTCATGTGCTGAATTTCAGGGAGGTTTTTACCCAAAGGCAAAGGAACATTTCTCGAAGTGACTGGTGAGTCAACTCTGTAAGAATCACAGTTGGGAATGGGAGGACTATAGATCACTGCCCTGTACCAGCTCAACCAGAGAGGCTCCTGAGTGACTCTAAAGTTTGAAATGACTTAGCTTTAAAACAATTGAGCCTATTTAAAATCTTGAACCTGTTTTCATGTTTACCCTGAAGGAATTCAGAACTTGCCACCAGAAAGTATGTTGATATGGCATATTGACTGTTTTGACTTAAAGCCACTTGAAAAAAGACAAATCCAAAGCAACAACACACTCACGTGCACTCTGACCTTCTTTCTTTTTCTTAAAAACAGGAGATAAGTTGCCATTGAAATACATCCTCCTGATGCCAGACGGAAATAACATCCTTATCATCAGGACATAAAGTTGAGTCCAGAGAATTCTATACACAGAGACCTTGGTAAAATAATTCTAATTATCTTGTCTTCCTCACATAGTGTAATTACTTTTCCACCGTTGTTTCTCTTTGTTGAAACACATATAAAAGCAAGTAGGTTTCCCAATTTGGGGGGTTTCCATTTCTTATGAAGTCTCTCCCCATGTCATGTACAACTTGCATTAAATAAACTTGTATGTTTTCCTCCTGTTGAGTTGTCTTCTGTCAACTGAAGCCGCAGCCCTGCCGCATAAAACCCTAAGAGGGTAACGATAAGCTTTTGCGCCCCCACAACCACTACAAGCCAAACCTAATTCCAGTTCAGCAGCCTTTGTCTCCAGGGAGGACGTCAATCTGCTTCCCTGTGTTAGAGAAAAGAGTCAGGCACATTATAGATGCAGTTACAAACTGAGAACAAGTGCAAGGAAAAGCCCTGGGCCTCATCTGACTGCTCTCCGTTCCCGCAAAGCGCAGCCGCAGGGTGGGCTCAGTGCCCGCGGCTTTGCGGAGGCAGCCCGTTTGCAGTTTCCAGCTGGTCCTCCAGAAAAGGGCAGACAACTCCCAAATGGCTTCTTCTCTCTCTGAGCTAGAGCTTCCCTCCACAGAGAAGTCAAAGCAGGACTAGCCTTCCTTCCAGGAATCTCTTCCTGAAATGGACATCCTGTTAGAACGGGGTCCTGTGACTCCAGCCACCAGGGACCCTTCCCCACTAGACACTTTCCCTTTTCCACTTCTCCCGCAGGCAGAGACGTCACTGTGCTCACACACTGGAGAGTGAACATCAGTGGTGCTGGCCTAGCTCCTCACATGGAAGACGTTATCCAGCCCACCCCAGATGTGCGCGTGTGCGCACACACACACACACACACACACACACACACACACACACACGTCATGAAGGCCCATATGCTTTTGTAACTCAGGGTTTTGATCCAGTCCTGAGTAAAACCTGAGGTCTTCTCACCCATCTGGTCTTGGCCCGTAGAGACCAAAAAAAAAAAAAAGACCAGACACTAACCTGAGCTAAGGGCCGTCTCCCAGATCCTGTGTCCGGGACATCAAGGCAGGTAGCAGCCACCTTGGTTGCTGCACTTCGGCCTGGTCTGCTGCCTGCTTCTCCATCCTGTCTGCTACATTGCGTGTTTGTCATGGGAACCTAGACCCCAGCTCCCCGCTACCCCTGCTGCCCAAAGTTTAGGTTGACCAACCCTCCTGGTTAGTCGGGGAGCAGAGGGGATTCTCAGGACAAGGGGCAGCAGTGCCAAACCAAGAAGGTCCCAGGAAAATAAGGGTGAGTGGTCCCCTCCCAAACCAGGGTGATATAAATGAGGCTCCAGCGGCCAAAGGACAGGGGACAGAGGTTTTAGTGGTCAGATGGCCAACCGCATGCAGCGGTGTCAAACAGGTCCCCTGTCAACCTAGCGGGAGATGCTTTCACACAGATGTTAAAGGCTCCAACTTCCTGTACTTCCTGACCCTCCACCAAGTCTACTCCACACTTCACACCTCACGGGAGGCCCTGTGGGAGGGAGCGGACATGTCATGGGTCATTGCGGGTCTCTGTCAAGAGTTTTCTGTCCTGTTGCCCCCATGAGCTCCTGACATTTCACCCTCTCAGCCCACACCCCAAGCTTGACACCACCCCAGGCCCCTTGGGCCAACCTCAGCCCTCCTACAACTACCTGCTCCATTGAGGACACGTACAAGAAGGGAATGTGCCCAACTTTGCCTCTCATGCCCTGCGTACGGAGGCTGTAATGGGTCCAGGGAGGCTGTAATGGGTCCAGGGAGGAGAGGCAGGTTGATGCGGGCGTGGCTGTCTGCCCATCACAGCCGCCTTGCCCGTGAAGACCCCCAGGGGCTGTGCGTGGAGGATGCGGTGAAGCTGTCTCAGCCCCATCTGTCCACTGCTCACTCCGCACTCTTCTCTACCTCAGGGGCACGACAGGGCAGGGCCCCGTGGCCTTTCTCACTCCTTGTGGGAGCCCACGTTACCTGTCTACCTAACATGAAGGGATAAGTGCTTAGATGTGACGCTGGAAACAGTGACCAAACCGACACTTGCTTTGAAAAAGTTCTTTATTTGGCTTGTCCTATAATAAGAAAAGGCTAAGATATACACCACAGGCCAAAGAAGCTGGTTCATACAAAGTCAGAAAAGAAATTCTATCTAGAACAAGCGCTGCTGCTTCTAGTGTGTGGCTCACTGCCTCACGTGGGATTTTAGGTTCCAGCACCTGCTTGCCTGACATTTTGTCCCAGCACCAAGTCTGCGTTTCTGGGAAAACCTGCTCCCATCTTTCTCACCCCCTCTTCCACCACCCACCACTGTGCACCTGGGCCAGAGTTGGGTGCTCTGTGTGCCAAGCTCTGGACACTGGTTTCTTCCCTCCTCTCACGGGCTCCAGAGCATGGGGGCCTGTGTCTGAGCACTGCGCATTATCACCTGCTTCACATCCTAGAGCTCAGACGCTGGCCATGGGCAGCACGGGTGCTCCTCCCCAATGTGAAGGCTGCTACAGCCAAGAGCACGGCCAGGAAGACCCCAGCAAGGATGGTGGTGCTGTGGTAGCTCCCCTGGGCGCTGGCCTCCTCTTCCAGGTTAACCTCTGGCTGGTCTGGGAAGGAGAGGGGAGAGAAGTAAGGACGGGGGTCCGAGGGCAGGGTGATGGCAATCAGAACTGTTTGGTGGGCGGGGAAAAGAAGGGAGAAAAGAGTGCCTTGCAGGAAACTGAGGTCAGACCCCAAAGAGCAGCTGAGTGTCAGCCCTGGCAGATTTCACAGTGTCTTGTCAGCCAACAGGAGCAAAGGTTTGTGAACAGGAAGTCAGAGCTGGCCTTTGGCATAAGATCTGGCTGAAGGCTCCCGATGGATGGGAGGAGAGTGAGTTGGGGCATTTGAGCCCATTTGGGAAATGGGCACAAAGGTCCCAGCAAGAGGGACACCGGACTTAAGCTAGCGCAGTGTCGGTGGGAAGAGAAGGGAAACGAGAGACATGAGCAGAGTCCCCATCGGCCGCCTTTGCCCCTCCCTCTGCCCTGCCTTCCTTCTCTCTTGTAGCTCCAGCCCCCGTGGTGGGTACCATGCAGGTGACTTATGGCCGCACTGCGTCCCCTCCCGCTGGAATGGAAGCTCCTCCGGGCAAGGATTTTGATATATTTAGTTCTCTGTCTCCTGGCACAAAATAGGTCTTCCAAAGATGCCTGGAATGTTGCAGATGGGAGGAAAGAGCCTGGAAGCAAGCCAGACTTCCAGGGGAGGGCCCGGATCTGGGCCCTGAGGGGAGAGAGCTGTCAAAGATCCTTGTGGGGTGAAGCCTGTGACTGCGGGAGGATTTGTGACTCTAGCGCCGCCCCACATCTGCCCCTGTCACCAAGGCCACCACATTTGTTGACCTGGCCCGGCCTGGACCAGAAATCATGGGAAGCCCTCGGCAAACATTTCCTCACCCACACGCACAACAGAGCGGCACAGTGGGAAATCTGCTCCCCGTTCTAGATGGGGAAAATGAAATGGCTTTTCCAGGATCAAGCCCTGGGAGCCGTGAGAATAAACCAGCCCTGCCTGGATCTACACGGCCCTGCCCAGACCCTGACTGCATGCGCTACTCCAGGGCCACAGTTTGTCATCATCATTATAAGTAATAATGTGATGATTAACGTTAACATTGGTGACAATCACGATAGCAGCAAAAGCACCGCTCTTTGCAGCCAGTGGCTTGTACCCGGCAAGGGCCAGAGCAGTGTAACTAACAGTATTTTGTGTAACGCCCTCAACAGTCCTAAGAGGTGAGCGTTAACGCTTTTGTTTTACAGATGAGTGTGAGGTTGGGTATTCAGAGCCCAGAGGGTAAAACTGTCAGGTGTTCCGTGTCCCACATTAGAACTGTCTTGACCAAACCCTACACGCGCATCCCCCATAGACCAGAAGCTCTTGGAAGAAGGTGAGAACCAGGTCTAGCTCCACTTCATATCACCCAGGGTAGCACAGGAGCCCTATTCGAGGCGAAACGGGACACCCACGGAAGCAACCCAAGTCCCCATGGTGCACGGGCCTGGGCCCCGGCAGATGGCGGGGTGGGGAGATGGCCACCTACCCAGGCTCCTCTTCTCAGCATGCGGGACCTGCAGCTGGATGGGTCCCAGGGCGACATCCACCTTCTCCTGGTAGGAGCCCACACCCCTCTTGGCCCTCACGATGCAGCCTCTACTGCAGCGGGACGAGGCATCGTACGCCCTGCACACGACCATCTTGCACTTCAGGTACACGGAGGGGAAGCGGCTCAGGAAGTGGAAGGAATTGAACTTGAAGCGGAGGACGTTGGGTGAGGGCTGGTGGTAGGATCGGTAGGTTTCATCCTTCACACACCTGGAGGAGGAGAGGAGTCACCGTCAGCTCTCAACAAGGCACTGCACTCCTCATGCCACCCACCCCGTGGGCTGTGCACCCTCCTCAGAGGGTGGCGGTCAGGGGACCGCCTGCTGCCTTCACAACCTTCCTTGTGGACCACCTGCTTGGCATGCTCTTTGTGCGGCACCCCATGTCCTCCTTCTTGTTTAATCCTTCCAACAGGCTGTGATATGGGCTTCACTACGCTCATTTGATGGCTGCAGAAACTGGCTCAGAGAGGTGCTATTGCCTGTCCAGAATGATGCAGCTGGGACGGGGCAGAGCTGGCATCCCAACCTCCATCTGCTTCAAAATCAACGTTTTCCCACTACAGGCATGTCTTTTTTCATATTAAGGCTTGCCTGGAATTTAGTCACTCAGTCTAATTTTACTTTATAGCTAACCTGCTTGATGGCCACTCAGCTCTCCAGATGCCCAGAGGTGACACCCTGGCTGGTTAAGCTGGAGCTACTGGGAGCCCAGTCTGCCTTCCTTGAGCTCTGGGCTGGTTGTGTGTGAATTATCAGGTAGAGGCTGAAGTCCACCCCATGAAGACACTCCTTACCCACTCCGGATGAGATCATAAGTCAAAGATGTAAAGTCATCGGGAGATGGTGACGCCACACAGGTGTCCACAAATAAGGCCAGGGAGGCGTTAGAATGGAGGATTTCAGCCTGAAGGTACAAATCCTGGTTCAGGTCCACATAGTATGGGCTGCTGGTCACGGGATATAAGAATGAAGAGGATGTATAAAAGGAAATGTTCACGTCAAAATTGCTGTATTGTATGTTCTTGACCTCGAGGGTGTCATTAGCAATGTACATCGTGTTAACCCAGGTGTTCTGGAGCATTTTGCAGCTGACGTAAATGTGGAGGTCCTTCCTCCTCTTGATGATGCCACTCGAAACAGCTGCTTTGAGGGAGTTGGAGTAGGTGATGGTATCATTATCCACCTGGGAGAGACAGGCAGGTGAGCAGAGTCAGGCAAACGTCACCTGCTAAGGGAATCTTGCTGCTTTGGGTGAGAATGAGACTGAAATGATGCTGCAAGATTTCAAAACCTTCCCAGAACCACACAGAGACGGCACATGCCTATCACCATGGCTACCGTTCCCTGGGATGGATACACTTCACCAGCAAGACTCCCTCCTTTCACACATCCCCTTTCCTCTGCCACGTGATTGGGGACCACAGTGTGTTGGTGCCTCCCAGGAGCTGCTGCTTATGGAAAGATGGGGGTGTCTGGATGACCCCCTACCCCTGCTGTATGACTAAGCTGAGTTTGGTCTCCACGGCTCAGGGCCCTTCTGGCTTGTTCTATTTCATTCTCACTCTTGCTGGGAGAAATCAGGGGAGGCAGTCGTGGGAGGGGCTAGTGGGATTCGTTTTCACTGTGCTGTTTGGATGGGTCAGTAGTTACTGCAGTTTGGTGTCTGAAGCTGCTGGAGCCTGAAGCAACAGAGATCCAGAGTTATGGCTGCGGCAGGTCTCTGACCTCTGGGGCAGGAAATTCCCCAGAGGCTCATATGGACAACAAGGTGGTAGTGGTGTGTGTAGGGGTTGGAGTGGAGGCCACGGCAATGCTGGAGCACTTCCTGTCACGCTTTGCTTCTCCACTCCCCAAACCACAGGACCATTTCCTGCTGTGCCTTTCATGAAGCAGCAAATTCATAAGAATGTTGGTCTCTCATGCTGTTTGATGTGCCTACCGTCTCATAAGAGTGACCTTTCCAGAGACAAGAGTCTCACACCTGGTGGTCTGTAAGCATTTCAAGGAAAGGGTGATGTCTAAGCATCTCTCTTTTCCCAGGGCTTGGTGTTAACTATAGCATCAGTAGCATCAATAAAGATCCATGGAATGGAGGAAAGGTCCAGGGGACAGAAGTCCAGCAAAAGTACTTGTGATGAAAGGAGGATGGTGCCAGGAGCAACCAGCCCAAATGGCCAAGAGGACACAGGTGAGCAAGCGCCCCTGCAGGCCCCATGGTCATGATCATCTGGCCGCAGGTGAGGTGAGCACAAGAGCAGCATCCCCAGTTGGAGACTGGGGGTGGTGCACTCTTTCCCTCCCAAATGCTGTGATGGTCCTAAGCAAATTGTCCTTGCCTGGTACGAGTTCCCACCAGCCGTGGGTGCCTCTGCAAGAACAGGCACAGAAATAACACCATAGTGGCCTAAATAGAAGCCCTAAAATGTAAGACAACCTCACTCTTAAAAAAAAATAGGGGCTCCCTGGTGGCGCAGTGGTTGGGAGCCCGCCTGCCGATGCAGGGGACACGGGTTCGTGCCCCGGTCCGGGAAGATCCTATATGCTGCGGAGTGGCTGGGCCCGTGAGCCATGGCCGCTGAGCCTGCGCGTCCGGAGCCCGTGCTCCGCAACGGGAGAGGCCACAACAGAGAGAGGCCCGCGTATCGCAAAAAAAAAAAAAAAAAAAGCAAGTTTGTCACTGTCACTAAATGTCATATGACATTTAGTTATATACCCTGTCAGGAGCAAAAGTTCATTCCTTGCCATTTGGGAAATTAGACAAGTTCCCTTCTGAAGCCAGCACTTGTACAACTAAATATAATTATTCTTTAGAGCAGCATGTGTTGGAGAGGCTTTAACTTCATGTCTAAGGTTGCAAAATTCAGCTCTGAGTTTGTCCCTTCCAGAAAGACATGTGAAAAGAGAAAAGTTTAACAACTGTCTAAAGTGGTCTTGCCACCCTGGGACCCTTGCCTACTCTCTGACCGTGGGTTTCCCTTTTCTCCCGTCAGAGGGAGGCTCTGGCCTGCAGGGGGCGCCAGAGCCCGCACTTTGGACTCAGGTCTGGCAAAGGGCTTAGGATGGGCTCTATGCCTTCCATTCCTTCATGGGAAGTACACTGTATTTTCCGCCCTTATATTTTCTTTAAAAAAGCGGGGGGAGCTTTATATTGGAGTGCCAGTGGTTATCGCAATAAACCATATAAATGTTGCCACCTTGCTACTCCTTCAAAGACAAGCTGAGGTGCCTTCAATTGAACTCTGTATATTCACATGAAAGTGTTCTTGAATCCACATTTGCCTGTGGCTTCCGTGGTCAAGCTAGATTCTGAATGCACGTCAAACAATGAAAGTGGGGGGCAGGTGTATTTCTTGAGAAGCTGTTCTGATTTTAAATGAAAATTCATTATTAGACGTCTGCTCAGTGTACAAGGCACTTGGGATGGAGTGGGAGTCTGGCAGACACGTCAACGGCTATCCCATAGAGACTCGGCCTCTTCCGCCTGGCATCCCACTCCTGTGGTGGGGAGACCTTGCCTATTCAGACACACGAGCCAACGTTTGTCAGACACCCACTAAACAGGGCACCTGGAGGAGATGTAGAAAGTCCCGGCTACGGATCATACCGTCCTGCCTTTGAATGCCGGCTCCACAGTTCATGACCATGTGGCCTAGGGCAAGTGGCTTAACCTCTGCAAGCTTCCATTTCCTCACAATTAAATGGGAATAGAAGTTGTCTCGAGAATTTTGAAAGTCTCGTGGAACTCTTAGTTCAGTGCCTGGCACGCATACTAGCCCTTAATAATATGATTATAAAGGCTTAGGCTCCACGCCAGGGGCACTTGCAGTTGCATAGATGAATGAAACATTGGCCTGCCCTGGAGGCACGGTTTGCTGGGGGATACAGGTATTTAAGTAAGCAGAGGAATCAGAATGTAGCCTGTGCTACCCATGACCAGCCAGGTTAGAAGACCAGGGCTGGCCCGTGGCTTTGGCAGCTCCTGTTGGAGATGAAGGAACACAGATAGGAGGGCTCAGATGTCAGAGGCTCCAGGCTGCATATTTGGAACTGGGAGGGGTGGGTCACCTTTGGCAGACTGATTCCCACTGACTAAACTCAGGACAAGCCAGAATCCAACACGATTGACTGACAGCGCGAAATGTAAAAGCCAGGTCGACTAGAACGTTTGCAGGGCGTGACCCATCTATACCCTCTTCTGCGTGTAAGCCTCCCTGACCCACTCAGCTCCGATCAGAAGGAGCTCTGGCGTCTGTAGGGACTGTCCAATGGGAGCTGGGGGGCCACAGTGGCAACTGCAGACCCTCGGGCCCAAGCACCCACCTGTGGCTGACAGACCCATCTGGTTAGCTAAACAAGTGTCCCCTCCCTCTCTCACGGTTCCTTGTGACCTTGCCAGGTAATGAACAGCACGCTCATAGCACCTAGCCGGGCACGCGGCAAATGTACGGTACGTCTTTGGTGACGGGCAAACCCTCTGATCGCGTGTGTCACACACATTGTACGTACTTGAGCCTTTTGTGCTGTATATTTATACTGCGGTCCTAAACCTAATAAAAATATTTGCACTGTGTCTGTTCCCTGACAGACAAAATCTTGAAGTGATTACTTAGGTGTCAGCCAAAAATTCAGAACTTAGAGTGCAGAGTTTTAAATGAATTTACATAAAATTAAATGCAACAGCTCTAAGTTTACCATTCGGTGGGGTTTGACAGTAAAAGACTCAACACTCCCATTAATTCAAACAGCTCCATCCTGCCCCTTTGCAGGCAGTCCCCTCCCACCAGGTCAGCTCACTATGTACACAGATTTCATAGAAATGACATCACAGGGTGGGTAGTGCCTGGCTTCTTTCACTCAGTGCCACATTTTTGAGATTCTCAGAGTCTGGCGTTGGCCCTACCGTTTCCTGGCTAAGTAGCTTTAAGCAACCTGCTTGGCCCCTCAAAGCCCAGTCTCCCTGTTTTTCAAGCAGGATGACAATGAGGGGAGACTTGCATCATCTTGGTGGGGATTTGGGGGAGTTTGACACAGACTAATCTCAGTGTCTGCCACTTGTAGGGGGACAGGATTAAGAAGTTTCCTGGGACATGAGACTTCTCCATGCTAAAATCTGCAAAGTCCCAGGTCAACCAAGACAACTGGTCACCCCAGGTGGTGACAGCTCAACAAATGATAGCTGCAGAGGCCAATTTACTGTGAAGCTAATGGAGGTTAAGCTTCAGGGCCCCCCTGCACAGGCTCTTCCGGGGCTCAGCAATGCACTGGCACAGCCATGTGTTTTTGTAAGATTTCTAAAACTAAGATATGCTTGCATTCTTTCCATGAATGAGGCACCTGCCTCTCTTGCCCACCCCAACACCAACCTGTATCAGCTCCAGGCCCTTCAGAACCTGGAGCTGCCCCTGGGAGCTGCTATCGCTCTTGCCGAAGTGATAGCAGCCTGCCAGGCACCCTGTCTGGTGGACAATGTGGGAAAAACTCCCCACTGACTTTCCTTCCTTCTATTTGGGCATGGCTGCAGCTACGTCATGGCACCAAGGGACGGATTTGTATCTTCAGCCCTATTACGTTCTGGTTATACCATAATCGTGTTTCCTGGGTCCCCAGAATTCAAAAAGCACAGCGCAGGGCACTGTAAGAAAGCTGGCTCAGCAGGAGGGAGAGGAAGAAGCTCCAGGCTTACCTGCTCGATGGTGCCACAGCCAGAGTAGGGAACTGTGAAGGTCACCTGGCTCGAAGTAATCTGGGGCCGACACCGGTAGCTCCTGTTCCAGCCGGGAATGACAAGGTCCTTGGCAGAGTAACCCAGGGACTGGAGGTAGCCCACGCTCACACTGGCGCGCATGTGATTCTGCAGGCAAAGCAGCTCTGGGGGCCAAGGGCAGACAGTGCGGTCAGTGTCAGCGCCCGCCCCCAAGCCCACAGAAAGGTGCAGAGGTTGAGGTGGCTGGCAGATGGTCTGCCTGCGGACACAGCTCACCACCGTGCCAGGTGCCCTGGGGCTCAAGTCAGTTTCACTCTCATGAGACCCCCTGAGGGCCCAGGGACTAGGATTTCTCTGATGGAGAAGTGAAGGCAGGGTGTGAAAAAAGCAAAATGTTTTGCTAAGTTGCCGCTTATCCATATAGTAAAGTAACGCTCGGGTTGAATTGAGGGGATGTCGGAAAATCAACATCCTTAGCTATGGACCTAAACATAGGTCCTTTAGCTAAGGGGCGGGTCAGTGCTTAAAATCCTGACCTCAGGATTTTAAAAGAGAGCCAGTACCTCACCTTGCCCGGCCCCTGGCCAATCTGTACATCGGTCCACTTAACAGCTCAAACCGTGGCCATCAGCCTCTGCTGGACGTGGTTGAGCGGCCAGCTCAGACCGTCTTCAGGCAGCAGCCGAATGTGCTAGGTCTCAGGACAAGGTCTGGGAAGGCCACAAGGCCTCAAGCCAGGTGATCCCCTCTGCCCTTGACACTGACAGCTCACTGTCTGTTGAAAGCAACACCTTGCCCTTCTACTTCATCTCTGCTGACCACAGGAAGGCCAATGCTCCACCCATCGGCCATGTCTGGGAGCCAGAGTCCCAAGACCCACTGCCCTTGGCCCCTTTCTGCACCGGATCGAGCCTTGGTGACCTGAAAAGGCGGCCATCACTTCTCATCTCACAGCCATGGGATGGCTGAGCAGCAGAAGTCACTCCGAGGGGCTCCACCCAGACAGACGGGGACTTACTTGTGCTCCCAGGGGACAGGCTGGAGTAGTATTCAGCCTGGAACCCTCTCATCTTGATGCTGCCATCGCTGATGAAGCGAATGGACATGAAGTTGGATGACGAGGTGAAGGAGCCCCTTGCCCCATCACAAACCCGGGTGAGCAGAGGGGAGCTGTGGTAAGGGCCGTCAAACACTTCAATATAATCATAGTTACAGCCGCCTTCAAGCCTGCGGAGACACAGCACACAGTTCTGGCTTCACTTTTTTTTTTTTTTTTTTTTGCGGTACGCGGGCCTCTCACTGCCGTGGCCTCTCCCGTTGCGGAGCGCAGGCTCAGCGGCCACGGCTCACGGGCCCGGCCACTCCGCGGCCTGTGGGATCTTCCTGGACCGGGGCACGAACTCGCGTCCCCTGCATTGGCAGGCGGACTCCCAACCACTGCGCCACCAGGGATCTGGCTTCACTTTTAACCAGGATTTGATGCAGGGGGTCAGATCTCCGTGAGAGGCATCACACGTCTAACCAGAAACTGTGACAAAATTAATAATTGAAAGTAATCGATTTCTTTTTTTATTGAAGTGTAGTTGATGTACGGTGTTATACAAGTCACGGGTGTACAGTACAGTGAGCCACAATGTTTAAAGGTTACGCTCCATTTACAGTTATTATAAAATATTGGCTATGTTCCCTGCATCGTATTGATACAATGTATCCTTGTAGCTTATTTTATACATAATAGTTTCTACCTCTTAATCCCCTACCCCTGTACTGTCCCTCCTCCAATCCCTCTCCTCACTGGTCACCACCAGTTTGTGAGACTTTCTTAAATTGGGCAGAGATTCATCTTTCCATGACCTCCATACATGGTTCTAGTCCTGCCTTCTGGGGTCACACATATGAGATCTACAGCCCCTCTCCTGACAGCCTTTTGCATCACATGAGAAAGGATCACATCCTACCTTAGACTTTTTCTTTGATCAAAAAGACCCCAGCTTCCCATAGAATTTTTTAAAATCCATGAATTCATAGTGATAGAAACAAATAATTGAACAAAAAAAATACTGGGCAAGTCAAATAGCCTCTCTGCAGCTCAGGTTTCTTATTTACGAAGGTGAAATCTCCCTACCCGTGTACACTGAAGAAAGCCGTCGTGAGGCTCAAACAATGTAATACATGGAGAAGTGCTTCATAAAATGTCACAAATGGTGGTCATTGTTATTAAGATGCTGACTCAGAACCAGTCACGGTCAACCTTCCTCCAAAGGATTTCATACAGTCCCCACAATCCAGTATGAATTGTAATGATGAAGAGATTAAAATAATATTGTACCTTTCTCAAAACCCCACACAAATTTCTAAGGCAGAGACTCCCAAGGCCACTGCAACCAAGAGAGAAAACTACTTTGTTCAGTGGTGGCTGTTAGAGGAGAAATTATGGACACCCCTTCCCAGGACTCTAGAAACTACTGGTGACTCGCTGTGGTCACCCCTCCTTGAACCAATCATGTATCACTGTCATTCTGATGAAGCCTCCTCCACTTAAAACAAGGATTCCCACTCTTCGCTGGATGAGGAACAGATAACCTAACCTCTGCTGCAGGGATTTCTCCTCCTCTGCCCGAAACTCGCCCAAAAAAAGGAGGAAGTAGAGTGAAAAGGGTTCAGAAAAACTGGTGTGGTTGTTAATAGGATTCTTGTTATTATTTCTCCTAACAATTATTATTATTACTATTATAATAAATACTGTAATAATAATAATTATTATTACTCCTAACGATAATCCCACTGGATAACATTGTCCAAGTATTTTCATATATTTCTCTCTTGTGACCCTCCCAGTAACCAGCAAGGGTAGGAAAGCAGTTATTTTATTCTCCTCTCTTGAGGCTAAGGTGAATTAAGTGATTTCCCTTGGTCACACAGGAAATTAGTGACATAGGTGCAACTTGAAACCAGTTGCTCTGGTCCTGGTGCCACCTCTGTGCTCGGTCGAAAATGGAACCCATAAGAAAAAATGTCAACGGGGCAAACATCTCTCCTGAAGTGCTAGGTGCCATTTATCCCCTTCTAAAGTGTCTGCAAGGTCCCTCGCACACACTTACTGGACGTCTCTGAAGACCAGAGTCACACGGTAGTTGTTTTGAACTTCGATGTCCCACACACACTTGGCATTGTTCGGATACTTCCCAGGGTAGAATGGGCTGAAAAAGCTCCCTGAAGGTTGGGACAGGAAGCCTCCACAGGAATAATTTGCTGTTGGGATAAAATGGAAATACTGATGACCCACAATGCACACTGCACAGTCACCTGGGGGAGATTTTTTAAACAATTCCCAAGACAGAAACCCACCAGGCGGTGCCTAGACCCCAGCTACACACAGATGGTCAGTGGGGCAACCCTCCACAGAGACTGTCCTTAGGGAAAACATCTCCTCACCATTCTCCTCATCCCTCCCCGGTGTCCCTGTCACTGAGGAGAAGGGAAAGGGGACTTGTCAGGGAGCTCAGGACTTACTGGCTGGGCGGGTGGGGGTGTAAACAGGATCTGTTGACAAAGAGAAAACATAATGATCAGTCCCCTGGTACCCTTGACACAACTGTTGAGTCCTTGCTGGCTCTGTGCCTGGAAATGTGCCAACCCTGGGTTCACAGTGAATGCTGGATACAGGCCTTGCCCTCAGGGACCACACAGCCTGGAGGAGAGGATGGAAAAGAGCAAATCCCAGCGTCATGGGCTGGGACTGCGATGGCGCAAAGCCCAGGAGGTGGTGGGAGCCTGGAGCTTTGGCTCCTGACCCAGACTGAGCAGGGTAGGCATCAGGGTAGGGTTGGATAATCAGGGAGGCAAGGCAGAAAGGGAGAAAGGGTGTTCCAGGCAGAGAGAACAGTGTGTGCCAAGGAACCTAGGTGTACGTGGCACATTTGGGGAACCTCAGTGTGTATGCAGCAGGGACAGGAGGGCTGGCGGGAACTAGGAGAGAATTGTGCAGAGCCCTAGAGGTTGTGCTGAGCAGTGAGGATCTGTGACCAGAAGGCCCTGAGGAATCAGTCCCCGAGACTGGGACTGACCTTGGCATCTTGTGAAGATGCCCCTAGCTGCACTGCAGAGAACGGATCAGAGGGGAGGGGCAGCCTGAAGCTGCTGCTGCTTCAGGAAGCCAGGTGGGGAGGAGGGGAGGGTGGGGACGGAGAGGAAAGGTCTCAGGGGTGAGGGGAGAGGGGGAGCTCAGCAGCAGCTCGAGAGCAGCCGGTCAGGAGCTCTTGCTGATCACGCACCGAGCTCGGAGGTGAAGCGGGCTCCAGCCAGCCAGCGCTGACCGGGGTCTAGTGTCCAAGGGGAGGCGTGGGATCTACACGGGGGGTGGGGGCAGCCTCGCCTAGGGACTGACCAGAGATCCGAATCTTAGGCTGGCCAGGCTACTAAAGGGCAAAGAGGAGCCTAAAGAGAGGCCCAGCCCTCCTGGGGCTGGGACATCAGCTGCAGGCGTTGCCACGTGCCAGGAAAGGCAGGAGAGGCAAACGCTTTGGAGAGCGAGCACCGTGACTGCAGCTCGGGGACCAGCAGGCAAGGCTGGGGAGAAGGAGCCCGTGCCCTCTCGGTCAGGTGGAGAAATACGATAGTTACTCTAAGTGGTTGCAGTTGATGGGTGCCACCAATCTAGAAAGAAAAGGAAGTGATTTTAGGATATTGCTGGATCATTTTTTAATTCCATGGTCATCAGTTTGATGGAGAAAATAAATCCTTTTCCTTACTGCAGGACTTCTCAGAGCCTTGACCATTCCAATTTAACACTGTGACTGGCCAAAAAGGGTCGGAGTATATAGCACTTCCCAACATATTTAGCACCAGATATTTTCTCTGTATCATAAAAATCATTTGAGGGATTGTTCTCAATGTGAAGCATTCTTTAACAGACAAACGTTTGTAGGAGTGTTCCTCGGCCATGTTTCTAGCATGGTCACAGTTCTCCATGGAATGACTATGAGTTATTTTCATTGGAAACAACCAGAAAACCAAACCTCTTCCCCCACAGCGTGTCTGAATGAGCGCTGGCAGCAAGCGGTGGTAGGAGACCAGAGGGGCCCTCCAGCCAGAGATGAGTAACAGCCATAGTCGGGGGGACTCGGCTTATCACCAAAACAGATTCCAGAGTCCTCAGAGGGAAAGCACTCCATAGGAGGAGGCTGCTCTCCTTCTATTTCTGGAAACCCAAGAGGGTAGAATTCCGGAGAGGAGTCTTGGGTCGGGCTGCAGTGACTCACCTGTGGTAGTAGAGTAGATTTCTGGGCCTGCAAGAAAGAGGGAACATGATCAGCCTCAGCACCCGGTATGTGCTGAGACACACCTAGCAGTTTCCTGGGAGAGAGATGCTGAGTGCCTGGCCCCCACCCTCCAGGGCATCAGAAGAGCGGCCTGGGACTTGTCCAGGAGAGCTGAATAGCAAACCTCAAACTCATATATCAGTATCCACAATAAAAACGGTTTCGGGGGAATTTGTTGTTGCAGCCTGTATTCACCCTTCTCTGCCCTGGTGGTCCACCAAGGAAGGTACTACACCAGACCCAAGAGATTCAGGGACAAAGGAATATGGGTGATGCATTCAGGGAAACTGCCCATCTTTCAGGGAAGTTCAGGTTGAGAGGAGCCCAGCACAAAGAGCCCTTTTCTGGAGAAAACCACACTAAAATTGAAGCTCAATGACTTGGAAGCCAAGCTGAGCAGATGAAACTGGCGGCCACGTGGTGCCCACAGTTGTGGGAGTTCCAACTGCTGTGGGAACTGCTCTACAGGCACCCAGGCAGAGGGGTCCAGGAAGCCCAACATCACTTATTTCCAATGTCAAGGTGATTAGCTCTGTGTCTAGACGGCCGAGTGGACCCAAACCAGACCTCAGCCTCACAGCATTTATGCGCCCCCTGAGGCAGCCACACTGAGGGGTCCTGGTCTAATTCAAAATCCCATGTGTGATCTGTCAGGCCTGACCGTAAGTGATGAGAAGGCTGTGCCCGGCAGGCCAACAGGAGCTACTGCCCTGTGCACGGCAGACCTGCTGCCCAGACAGCGCATCCCAGTTCCCTGCAGGGGCTACTGTCCCGGACTCAGGAACCAATCCCTGGGCCACCTGCAGTCCTAGGCCATGACCTCCATTCAGAGACCTCATGAGAGAACTAGCCTGTTTTGCCTCTGGCTTGCACTGTGGCATATGGAGAAAAAGTGCTTCAAGTCATTTTCAGTTTGGTTCTTTGTTCCAATTTACCATCTACATGCCTGACATCTTGTCAAAGAGCTCATACTAATTCTTAGCAGAGAGACAAGGTGATGTAAGGAAGCGAGAAATGTAGAAAATTCTTTGAGAGGGGGTCAGAGTGTCAGAAGGAAACCACACCCCCAGAGAGGGACACCCAGCTTATGTGAGACCAACCTGAGCAGACGACACCGGCGTCCTCGCTGTGTCCACAGTTGTGTGTGTTCCAGCCACTGTGAGGGCAGCTCCACAGGTAGCTCTCATGCCCCGAGCAGCCCACATCGTCCAGGACGATCGACCCTGAGCCCTGACCGTACCGGGCACTTCCAGGGGCCGACGTGGCCCAGCCACAGCCCAGCTGCCTGCAGACCACGTCGGCGTCGTTGGTGTCCCAGCCGTCGTCACACACGGTGCCCCAGGAGCCTCGGTACAGGACCTCGACCCGGCCCTGACACCTGTCACCTCCATTCACCAGCCTCAGGGCCAATCCTGATTCAGTCCCTAGAGGGCAGCACAAGGACACCTCCTCTTATCTCTCCTGAGGTCACAGGCCTAAGGCCCGTTCCAGACTCAGGGGACTTCCTGTCGGTGAGTCTCCCCTGGGCAGGAATCACCTTTCTTTTATGCCCAGGAGTTAATCTTCATCACAGGGAAGTGAGCAGAGATTCCTATTCTGCCCAAGTCTGAAGATGCTCAAATGCAGAGGCACAGCCCATCACTCCAAGAGGAGGCGAGCACGAAGGTTACCCTACCCACCCAAGATACACCCAGGCTAGTGCACCATGGTCGCAGGAGGAAAGTCAAGACCATCCCCCTGCTGGTAGCTTGTTGGCTCCCGGGTGGTTCTCCCTGGGCTCTGGCCGCACCCCTGGAGATGACGGGACCGGGTTCAAGCATTTTACACCCAACCCTTCGGGCTGGACAGCCATCCATGGCCTGAGAGACCAGTAGAGGTACCAGCAAGACGGACAGGCATGCAGGGCCTACACTGACCGCCTGGAAGAAAATCTTTCCTGAGTATCTGGACCCGATCCCACTGGACACAGCTCACCAGCCCACTAAGATCGGACCTCAGACCTGGCCTCCAGAGACTCTTGCTTCACTCACAGGCACAAGGATATGGACGGCCACACCCTGAACCTCCTCCTGTCACATCCAAACCCCCAGTTTATCCAGAAGCGGAAACTAAGCCCCAGGGAGGTGGATAGGAATATTTACCTATGCGTGACGGAGCACGTGAGGATACGGCCTGCCGGGAGGCTGCAAGTGGCAACAAAGGGAAAGGTCAGAGTTAGACAGCACAGGAAGGAAGCCTTGGCAGAACGTTTACCCAGCATGGTGGTACCAGTTCCACATCTGGATCCTGCCACTTGCTACCTGTGTTTGCTGAGCAAACCTCCTGCTCTGCCAGCTCCTCTGGGACAATGGCCCTGTCTGAGGTCGGCCGGCTCCCTCCACCTCTCTAAGCCTGGCATGTTCTCCTTCCCGTGAAAAAACCTTTGCCACCTCCCTTCCATGAGCCATGTCCGCACTGGCACATCTGAGGGGTTGTCCAGAGGCAGAAGTGGACAGAAAAGTCAGGGGGTGAAGCTGGAGCCAATCATGGTCCTTGGCACCCAGAGCACTGCAGTCCCTTATGACCCACCATCTCCTGGGCACTGTCCCTGCCACTTCCGGATGCAGGTGTGGCCCTGTTGGATCGGAGGCATAGCCCAGAGTGAGGGATGCAGGCACTCCTTCCTGTTCTCATGTCCCATCAACAGAAGGTCAGTGATTATCAACCTTCTCCCACAAAACTCTCCTCAGCTGGGATGTAACAGGGCCTAGAGTGGTGGAACACATCCCTGGTTCTCTGAACCTGCAGGTGACAATCTCTGAGACAGTATCAAGGACAGGATGTGACAACTCAGATGGATCAATGGGAAGACGGGAGTGTTGGAAACCCCATGTCTAGTTAAGAAGAACCAGCTGGGAGACTGAGCAGGGGAGGGGACAGAACCTCCCAGGTTCTGCAAAGTACAGCGATTCCCCCAGAGGGGAGAAGAATGGGGCATGGGCAGGGAGTAAAGGGACATCCGGAGGAAGGTCGCCTGAGCCTCACTCAGCCAGGCAGTGGACTGGGGCCGAGCAGCTGCGAGAAAGACACGGAAAGTCAGACACAAAGCATACAGGGGTCCCACTGGGATCCCAGGGGGAAGAGGCTCAGCCTTCACACGTTGCTGACACTTCTCTTAGGACCTCCGCGTGGGGAGTGTGTGCCCACCATCGACGACTCAGTCCACTGGGGCCCCTCGTTCTGTCTCACTTCCTGTGCCTGACCGCCTGGACCTGAGGGCTTACTTTCCTGAATATGAAAGTCCCTGGCATGCCTGCGACCGGCCACCAGTGCGACCAGCCACCGGAGCTACCACTTTAACTCCCTGTGGGAACAGCAAGGAGGAGCCCAGGTGGTTAAGGTAGGACCCCAAGTCCACCAGCCCAGCTGCAATGAGGGTGAGGCTCATCCAGGCGCCCCAGAGTTTCTGCCTGGGGTCCAGCTCCTGCCCCAGTGTCCTAGCAGGCTCGTTACCAGTCCACACAGCCACCCGCTCCCGTACCCCTCCGCCTTCTCAACTGTGTTCACCACACTCACACGTGCACCTTTTACACTGGAACTCTGTTGACTGAGTCGGCTCTGAGAGGACCCCAGTCTGTAAGCCATCAAGGGCACCTTTCCCTTTTGGCAATAGCATCCCCTAGACTCCGCCGGGGGTGTGGGACATGAAAAAGCCCTGTTCTCCCAGCACACATAACTCTTGGTCTAGACAATGCTTTCGAGCAGAAATGACCCCAGGACAGGCTCCCTGTCACCCAAAGCTCTGGGGAGACACTGTGTAGCCACAGTGTCCTTAAATCACTGAGCCAGACCCGAGGGTCCTTGTGCTATGGCTCCTCTGGAAGCGTCTGCTCGCTCTAGAGTGACCAGGGCAGGTATTGAGAGGGGGCAAACGTCCAATCGCCCCGCCTGGGGCTCCTGGCTGGAGTCTGTGGAGGTGAGTGGGGAGGGAGGGGACAGCCCGGAGTCAAGAGGCAGCAGGACTCACTTGGCAGGAGCGTGGACTGGGGCCTGGCAGCTGGGAGAGAGAGAAGGCAGATCAGACACCTTGCACACAAGGGGCACCACAGGGGCAAAGGGGGATGAGGACGGCACAAGGACACCGCCTCATGTCTCTCTTGAGGTCACAGGCCTAAGGCAGGTTCCAGACTCACACCATTTCTAATGGCCACAGTTCCCCGGGCAGGGGGTCACTTTGAACGTGGCCACGAGTTAACCTTCATCACAGGGAAATGAACAGAGACTTTCCTTCCCCAAGCCCAGGCTACCAGAAGCTCAGGCTCTACTGGCTGACCTCCCAGCTCTCCTACTTGGGGCACCCCCAGGGGGGTTTACGGGACCTCTGATGTCCACAGGCTGAAGGGTCATGGTTCCTGTATAGTGCAAAGAAATCAATGTGGCCTCATATGGGCTCAGCCAAAGGCACAGACAAGGTGGCCCCCTCAACAGGTATGCACCTGCCTCTCCAGGCTGTGCAGCCAGAGACCCAGGACCCTAGGCTGACCAGAGGTCAACATGCATTGGTGAGGACCACACGGTAGGCTCTGAGCATGGGCAATAAGACTCTCTTGGAGACAGAACACCAAGCTCCATCTTGGAGCTCCTTGGAGATACCTCTGCAGGTTGATTCCTCCCGTCTCTCAGAGTCAAGGTCCAGGGAAGAGATACCTTTTCAGACCTGAGGCCTTGTTCAGAAGTCCCCACCCTTGAAAGCTGAGCACCCCCATCTCTTACAGCTTCTGCACCTCTTCTGGATCAGAGATGGACCTCTGGGTGCAGAAAGGTAATGAGCCCACAGGGATCCCACATACAAAACTTTACCTTCTGCTGCACTTGCTGTTGAGGGTTCCTCCATGACAAACAAAGCTACAGAGTGGAGAGAAGGAAAGGTCATTCGATGTTGGCTCTCCTCCAGGAGGGTCGACCCTCTGCGCCTTGGCTCAGAAAAGGGGCTGGATGCAAAGATCCGGAAGCTCTGCCCACTGCCCAAAGGCTGAGAACCTATCTCTCTGTCACTCTGTCAGCCTTCATTCAATGTTGGAGGCCACCAGGGACATTCTTGGTTCTGGACATTCACCACCTCCTATGCTTCCACAATGTCCATCCCAAATATCACCCTTTGATGAACAGCCCAAATCTATCCACAAGATTAAACTTCAAATACCAACTGCCTATTTCTATGGCTCAAACGTAGTCTCAAATGACAATACCTACCATCACTGAGATATGCCTGAATGTGGCCCCAGCTAGGAGGAAAGGCAGGTTCCAAAGATGCAGCCCCAAATGTCAAAATAACGTGCTCCAAAGCGACTGCTCTCTTGGGGAACACATTCTCATGTGACAGCTGGGTTATCACGGTCACATTCTGTGCATAGTGACATGTATGTACACACAGCAGTCCACATAGTAAATGCCAGAGGTTACTCTAAAGATGGATGATTTGACTAGAAACTCCCCTTTGGGGCACACAAGATGGGTGACATCCTTAGAGGCTTCTTTGTGGATTAAAGGACCCGTTGGTGCTAGAAGACCCACCAGCACTCTGAGCATAAAGGAGAAATGTTGAGATTTGCTAGGTTAAGTCAGGGAGAATTTCTCTTCTTCACGGAGGCTGTACATATCCTTCATTTGTCATTTAATCACCGATAAAGAGAACATATTGGTTACTGCTTAGTTTGCTTTTGATATAGATTTAAGTTTTAAAGACCAAAACTCCCCAATCCTTCTTCCTCGCATTTAAAAGGATGAGAAGGTACCACTTAGGAAGGTGTTTGGTCATCCGAGGCCAGGGATGGTTGTGATGCTGTTCACAGGATCGTGTGCCCCGGGGGATGGCACCAGCAAGCTCTGGGGGTGCCGAGACTAAAACCCATCTCCACCACTTCAGGCGACTTGCCTGAAGCTTTAGGACTTCAGGCAAGTCGCCTGCCCTCTCTGAACCTCCATTTCTTTATCTGTGAGAAGGGACAATGACACCTGCCCCCTAACATCAAATAAGAGTAGATCAGGTAAACTGCAGAGTGCCCTGGGTATGTGTCACGACACTGAGGACCTTGGGAGCCCTGTCCTCAGGGTGGCACAGGTGACAGTGCCAGTGACGTCTGTGCTACCTGAGCACCCGACTCCAGCGTGCTCCCCATGGCCACGTTCACGGTCGCACCACCCGCTGTGGGGCAACTGGGCGGGGCAGGGGGTGCTCCCTTCCCAAGCAGTGCACGGTGCCCACAAGAACGTCCCCTGTGCCCTGACCAGGGTGGGTCCCACCCAGGGCCGGCAGTGAATGGCCACAGCCGAGCTGTGGGCAAACAACGTCTGCATCCCGGGCGTCCCAGCTGTCGTCACACACGGTGTCCCAGCAGCCTTGGTACAGGAGCTCCACCCGGCCCTGACACCGGTCACCTCCATTCCCCAGCCACCCTGCGTGGACACGGTGGAAAGCCCTTGCCGTCACGCTCTCTGCCGCCCCGCCTTTCACCAGCTGGCACCCTCTGCCCTCCCTCCTCTGACCACTGTCCCCTCTCCTGGACCAACGTTTCTCCTCTCTCAGGACCTTATATATGGTGGCTCCCCCAGCGCCGTCTCAGCCCTCTTCTCTCCCCCACCTGGAGGGCCTCATGGACTCTGAGAGCTTTCCAGGAAGAAGACCCCCAGTTCCACCTCTCCAGCCCTGATCAGCCCTGACCAGCTCAGCCCCAAGCTCTGGACCAACGTTTTCAAATGGCCTCCTAGATCCCATCCCCTCCCCTGGCCGACCCTGGCCCACACTGAACACAGGCTCTTTCCTCCATCTGAACCAGCAGTGTCATCACGTTCCACATTAACTGTGTCGGGAATGTGGGCGTAATATTTGATTCCTCCTTCTCCCCACCCCTTATACCCAGTCTGTCACCAAGGTCGTCTTTCCGTTTTTACTCCACTGCCATTTTGCGAGGTTAGGTCTTCCTTCTCTTGAGCCTGGCCTTCCCCGGGGGCCTGCCTATTCGTCTCCCTGCCCCTGCCCTTCCTGTCTCGAATCCATCCACACCCACTGACTCAACCAGCATTCCTGAGGTGCCTACTCTGTGTCAGTTCCTGTGCTGAGCTGATTCATCTGTCTCCCCCAGACAGGGCACCGTGCTCCTGCCTGCCATGGTCCTGTGGAATCACCCACGCTGATGACACAAGGAAAACAGGCAGCAGGTTTTGAGGGATCCAGCCCAGCGTCCTGACAACAGGAGCCTTGTCAGTGGTTAGTCTGAGGTTATGAGAAATTTTTGGTCGGGGAGTGATCAGAGAGGTTAGAATGGGATGGAAGAGAAAGGGGCAGGTGGCGCCCATGGTTGTTGTCAGGGTAGGGGTCGGGGAAAGAGAGAGGAAAGGCCAAATGGACTATCTGTTGGGTTTTCCCAAGGTGCATTCTGGGCTCCCTTAGCCCCTCCTGCTGTCCCCTTCTGGTCACTCCTGTGAAAGGTCCCTGCAGAAGAGATCTCAGCCTCGGTCTGTGCCTTGCTGGAGGTCAATCATCAGAAAGCTGTCCCTCAAGTCCCTCCCAGGACATTTCTGGACTCTCAGGGCATGCTCTGAAAGGGCAGGGATTGGCCTCAAAACAGCTAAGACCCAATGGCAGGGTCAGCTGCCCTAAGTGAGCACATGAAGGACCCTGACATATCAAATTCGGTGCAAAGTGTGCGTATTCTCACTGAGCAGAGGAGAAGAGATGATACATTTAGAAAGAATCCTGGACAGAGGCAAAGGCACCTGTTCTGGGTTCAAATCTCTACCCAGCCACTGACCCACCATGTGACCTTAGACACAGAACTTGACAAGTTACCTAACAATGCCCCGGTTTCCCTATCTGCACAAGGAAGGTGATGATACTACTTCCCTCAGTGTTGTTGGAAAGATTTCATGATAATAGCACTTACTATGTGCATTAGTTGAGCACTTATTATGTGCCAGCCAGTCTTTTTTTTTTTTTTTTTTTTTTTTGTT